CATCATTTTGAAACGTGTATTGCAATTAAATCACGGTCAAATATGTTCATCTTGTTGTAGTTGTAGCCCCCTTGCCAGCGATTCTCTCTCTAGTTTAGCAAACTCAGCCCTGTTTGTTGGCCCCGATAGAACCACGATTTTGTCGGGCCAGAAAAGAGGTGAAAAAGTACCCCCGGGCCGGAACTAGGCCTAGTGGAAGCGCAACCAAAAACGGGCCCGGCACGACACGGCACGCTTAAACCGTGCTCCGCGCCATGGTGGAAATGTCCCATAAGATGCTGAACACAGCTGGGTCGGAGCGCTTTTTCACGTTCTGGGATAATAGAGTTGGCCAAAAGTGTTTTTAAAACCCTCACTGCTTTCCTTAATTACTGTAAAAAGTCATTATTATTGACATGCCTTAAAAATGGTTTATTAAGTATGAAGGCTTCATGGCAGTTTAAATTGTTGAGTAGCTGTGAAAATAAAAGTTGACTGGTAAGCCAAGTTCAAGGCTTTACCCCTCATTACATCTCTGCTTACGAATCATTTGAGTAGGTGTGAAGCCTAAGAGGAGTGTGGAGGTTTTCATGGGGCAGCTGTATGTTGAGATTTATAAGGTTGCAGGGAAATGCCTCATCATTTTCGGTACTTCCCTCACGGCTGCAGAGTGGCATTTGCGAAAATGAATTACGGCCTTCTGTGTGACTTAATCGAGGGAGAAGGAGGGAGGGAGGGAGAGAAATCTGAGGAGGAGAAAGGCAGGGAGAACGACGGGGGCGTGTTTCACTCATTCACAGGAGTAAATACTAGAGCGGGTGGCTTCTGCTCCCTTTGTGGCCCTTATGCAGAAATGTATTATCGTGAATGCTACATTTCAATGTTCGCAAACTATGGTCTCAATATGCTGCAGTTAAGAAGTCTTAGAACTATTATCTTTGTCTGTGACTGCTTCACATGCTGCAGTTCGGCTCTGATGTCCCAATGTCATATCCTCAGACAGGAATTTTGTTATTTTTCAGAAAGTCGGAAAAAGTTGTTAAACTCAGGGGCATCAACTAAATGAAATAGAAGCTAATTCTTCATTAAAATCAGCTTTGTGAAAACAACCTAACTTTGAAATTGTCAATGTTTTATTAACTTAGACAAACCGCCTTAAATCAAAAGCTTTGTGACTATGCATGTTTAAGAATCTAATCATTTCTGCATTTAATTTATTTCATCTGTATGTTTATCTGACAGTTTCTAATTCCCTATTTACACATCCAGCAGACACTGAGCATGTATTTGTATTTAAGTCCTGGGAACAAATATTTGTCTTTTAGGCTGCTTGATGTTCACCTTCCTTCGTCAACATAACTGTGTTAGTTTGCTGTTTGGGAGACGATTCTCTGTGCATTTGTCACTTTAAGATAACTTTTTGTCATTTACTTGTCGAAAATATTGAAATTGAAAAAGCGACAAAGCTGCAGAAAGAAGGTTTTCATTATGCTTCAGCAATATATAAGAGATATATTATTGTCATGTATAATTAATGGCCCTTTTACTGTCATATTTATTGTTGATTTTATGTTATGTTTATTATTTCTGTACGTTATATTACTGTTGCAATTATTTGCACAACAGATTCATCTGGTGATTTTTTATCTCAAATAAAAGATTATTGTGTTAACTATCACTTTTAGCCGAGCCGAAGATGACAAATTCAGCCACTGGACTAAAACATAAGCCATATTTATAATGATAAAAAACTGAGAAAGGCACAAAGATATTATTGCTGCAATATGTGCAAATTGTGACCAATATAACTTAATGTCTCCGAGACTCCGTCTTTCCCTGCACTTATTTTCAAGAATTGGGTTTTGAAACAATTGCAGATGACCATAGTGGACCATTTCTCTATTAAGAGGAAGGCAAAATCAATAACTAATTGGGGAGCCACATCTTTATCTCACCATAAGTGTGAGACAATAGCTGGACGGCCTGATCTGCAGAGAACTGTATCCTCCTGTCCTGAGAACAGCCTCTCAGGGGGGGGGGGGGAGTTCCTCAAGTTGGTGGTCCAGCTCGCTTGTCTCATTGGCTCGATGCTTATTGGATTGCGTGCCCATTCCCACAGCTCCAGCGGGTCAAATGACTGGGATGTGTAACTCACGGCCGCTAAGTAGTCTATCGATCAGTCAGCTGAGCCTGTGGGCTGATGGGAGGTGCTGCCGCAGACAGTTGGCAGGCTGGTAATGGGAACGAAATACGATGCATTCCTGCACAGCTGAGAGAGAGAGGAGTCCATTACAGCAGGAAATCAAGTGTACAGTATAACTCAAGTTAATGGGGAAATTCTGTTCTTCACACAGTTTATACATTCCAATTTTACTACTGTCTTGAAATGTGGGAATACTGTTTTTATCTTGCCCACCAGTTTGGTGTTTTATGAATTTTGAGAGTTTTAGGGTTATAACATTTGCCTGTATTCCACTGAAACCAACTTAGGTTATACAAGAGGACATTTAACAATAGAGAGAAAAAGCTGGTAGTACCATATTTATTTTGTGCTTTAAGCAAATATTCTTATTGAACCCACTTGCCTTGAACCCTTATAGCATGATGCAAAGTAGTTTAATCTCAAATAAAAATATTTGGCTGCTCTTATCTTAGTGTGAATATGAGTGACTTTCAGTCTTATCGTGCCAATACTTTGGAGAAAATGCATCAATAGGCTAGCAATATTACTGCAGCTGATAATAGAGGAATCCCTTAACTGTTATTACAACATTATATGAGTTTAAAATATGTTACTTTTGGTATTCTTGTCAATAAAATAATACAATAAATTGTATAACATATGGCATAAGCAGGTGAATTAGATATAGAATCTTATTTTGTTAGATTGGATCCAAAATTGGAAAATCTCTGATTAAAAGTTTATGATCATCACATACATTTAATCAGTTTAATGAATGCCGGGGATAACTAGATCACACATATCTCCTTCTAGTTTTCCTAAATGCACAAAACCAAATACAACTTCCCCTGTTTCTTGTAAAGATCTGCTTCCTTGATCTTACTCAAACACATGTTCAAATCAAGCCCTGCAAATGGAAATAATATTAAGCTAGAGATCAGGATGCTACATGAACACATGCCCATAGTCACTCTTTACATGCAAACACAAATTAACATGCGATATTTACCCCCTGTACAGTATGGCAGTCACAGTGTGACCTAGTGCCCAAGATTAAGGCCTGGCAAAGCCAGATTTAGCCTCCCGGCAGACCAAATCCCAGCTTTTCAGAGCCTGTGAGGAACACACTTCTGAACTCTAATGCCAACACACTGCCAGCAAAGTCTTACACAAAAAGCTACATACAACTTCTGAGGGCTTCAAAACTGCACAGCAGCAGATGCAGGATTTCTGGGTTAAACATCAACCCTACCTCCAAAAATAACCTCATGATGACCCATATGATTCATGGGGAACTAACAAGAACACTGAGACATTATTCAGTTTTTAAAGGTCCCATGACATGGCCATTTCTACTGATCATAATTCCACTGTTGAGGTCTACTAGAATAGATTTACATTGTGCAATTTTCCAAAATCACATTGGTTTTCTCATACAGCATCTCTGTATAGTATGTGTATTCACTCTCTGTCCTAAACGGCTTGTTGGAGCTCCTGGCCCCCCCCTCCCTATGAGCCCACTGTGCTCTGATTGGTCAGCTCGCCCACTCTGTTCTGCTGAGTCCACCACCGTTACAGCGGAACATCAGTGTTTATGTTTTACAATGGCATTTGTTAGCAACCAGAAAATAACACCAGTAATGACAAACAGATGAGAATGCTGCGTGGGGTCTGGGTGCCGTGTTGGCGGGACGTTGCGGGGTTCGCTGCTCCGCCCTTTGAGGCTCGAGGAGCGGACAGTGTGAGCTGGATTACTGGTGTCGTTTCCTGGTTGCTGCGTGTGTGTGTGCGGAGATCTGCGGAGCCGCGGCTGAGAAAAGATAAGGCTGAGTGAGTGTGTGTGTGTGAGGAGCTCCGCGGATTGGTCCATTTGGACCTGGGTATCGTTACGTCACTATACTCAGGAAGAAAAAAATGGAAAAATAAAAATCTCCAACGAGGCGTTCTGGGGCAGCATAGACAGGTATTTTCTGTGTTAGAGTTTTACTCCCTACAGGGTGTACTTTGAGGGTTTGTGACTTTGCAGACCGTTTACATGCAGAAAAAGCTACATAACACACAAGGGGACAGGTAATAACCAGAAAAGCATGTCATGGGACCTTTAAATGAAGGTCGATTCTTGCTAAAGCATGTATGATTCACATGTGTATATATGTAGTTTAATTGGAAAAATTGATGCCTTTGATTACTGTAAACTAAAGGTGCCCTGTCTAGTTTTGTTAACAGTCAATGTTACTCACCAAATCACGTGTAGGGTATAAGACTGCGATCTAACAAACGTTTTGGAAGTATGTTCTGCAGAAATCTTTTGCAAAGCCCATTTCTAAGGATTATAAATACAGAATTATTTGCTTTACTTTTCCTAGTTTGTAGTCTTCTTCTTCTTTTTCTTTGCTGGCCAATCCTGGCATTTTATCGCCACCTGTTGGTCAGTTTAGTAAATGCTAGTAGAATGGTCGTTAGATAAAAGAAAAAAGAACAGTTGGCATTGTCATGTGTGTGATTAATATCTGCTAAATCAACCGATTGCTCTATTTTAAATGTGTTTTAAAATTCAGTTTGACAGAAAATCTGATTGTAAAAGTCAAGAAGTATAAAGGCAAACAAACAAGGTATGGTATGATTTAAAGGTGCTTAAGATGGCTTGGGGTCTCAACCTCAAAAGCACAATATAAAAATACTAATTTATCAGTGTCATCCTAATCTATAATGATGATTAGTGACAGGGAGAGGCTGTAAAAGACACAGAAATGCATTATAATTAAATAACGGGAAATGTAAGCAGTATTAACAAAACCACCAAAGATGAGAAACATGATCGTTGTGTTTACATTAATTTATTTGCATTCACACACGCACACACACTCATTCTGTGCCAAAGATATTCAATTATTTACATAGCCTTTACACACTTAAATAGCGCACTGTCTCAGACACACAAGGATAAATATATATTTAAGAAATGTCAAACTAAATGTATAAAAGTGACCGTTGGCACATCCATAAGACAAACTTTATCACCAGCTTTGCATATTTCCTGTGTCAAACAGACTATTCAAACAGGCACATTTTGCAAATGCAGCTTAAACAAATACAGAGAATATTTAGCTGTAGAAGCGATAAAAGAAATCCCTTTAAAAATACCCAGAACAAGGGATCCAGCCCCTTTAGTCTTACAAGATTAATGTGTCTAAAACATCATCATACACATCAGAAAAGTGTCAATAAACCCAATATTTAAAGTACATTCCATTCCAGGCTAACAATTGGTCGTAAACTTAACATACACTCTAGTGCAATTATCAATATAAGAAGCTTCATTTATAAAGTCAACATGAGGATTTCTTATAAGTATTAAAAAGTCAGATTCAGAAGAAAATGTCCCTGAGCAACAGTGACACCTAGTGGTTATAAATCGCAACATTCAGCTTTCCCAAAGAACACAAAACCTCAAATAAAAATGTTATCAAAATGTCATCCTCTTATGAAGGAAAATCTTTGGTGGCTGTTTATCAATAAAGAATTGTTCTTACTCAAAGCAAGTTCAAGAACGGATACATTTTCCTGGTCCCAGAGTTTAAATCAGTGGCTTCTCTTTGATCCGTGTTCCTCATTTTGGACTGCCTTCTCCTGGTAAGAAGTAGGGGTTCTCATGTCCTTGAACCAGATAGGAGTAACGAGAGGGATTTTTACCTGTGAAGGTGTTCATTCCATCTGGGTTGAGATCGTATGATCCTGACTGAAACGTCAGTGGAAACAGTCAACATGTTAGTATCTTTCAGAGAAGACATATATACACAAACACCCACCAAAGCCAAGCACACATACACAAGTAACCCTCACCAATATGCAGTGAAAATGACTACTCCCCCACCTAGCATCAGCTGAGGTTCTCTGAACTGTCACTCACTACATTAACATGTAGATGAAAGCACACGGCTTTCCACAACAATCAGATTCTCATGAAGCTCCCCATCACCCCGGGAATCCTTCCACCGTTATTCTCACTCTGTCTAAATCATCAGCAGGGGGAATCAAGGCGAATCAGAAACTAAAAGCAAAGCCATGCCTTACCTTTTTCCATCCTTTCTGCTTCGGATGAAACCCCTAAAGCAACACACTGGGAGTCAGGCAAAGCAGGGAGCATGGTAGGGAGCTATGTGCTACCACTATAAATATACATTCTGGATGACTGGGTTGAACATTGTGATGTGGGTAGGACTGATAACATATCAGCAAAGCATCGAATCTGTCTCTGAAATGATGAGATGATTATATACCCAGTGAGCAGGGATGTGTTGATTTGCAGGTCAAAAATATCCAGGTCTTTAGGGCTAAGACTGAGTTAAATGTGTGCACAACAAAACATGTTTCAGCGTATCTAGGGTAGCAACTACAGCCATTGAAACAATATATATGTTTCTAGAAATGTACATGTCTAATTAAGCCAGATATTCACCTCACCTAGATGTATTTTTATCCTGTAAAATTATCAAATCTATGCTCATTGGGTTGAGAAGCAGATGCAAACTGTATGTAAAATGTTGGGGCAACATTGAACAAACTAAAGGCTGATTTAGTGGTAGATCGACACTATGCAAGACTGTGAGTTTAGGATTATTGGTAAGTGATTGATAGATGTGATAACTCACCAATCCATTGGTTTGATGCTTTTTGACACAAGCGCTGCCCCCATCTGTCATCTCTATGGGGGTAGCGGCATCCCAGTTAGAGGTGGCTCGGGGGATGGGGGTGATGCCAGTGGGCCAGGGATGGTTTAAGTCCCCTGATGAGTATGGACTGCGACTGAGGTCTGGCTTGCTCTTTGAGCTTCGCATACTGATGTACAGATAACAGAAAATGTAAAATGGTCATGCAATAATAACTTTCTTTGTTTCCAAAGCTTGTTTAAATTATTCCTGTGTCACAGAGCTACACTGTTGTTCAAAAACTATAAAAAAAACGATATACATATCCACAGAGTCTTTTTTTACCACCAACGTGTTGTAAGTACACTGAAAGATAGAATGAATTGCAAATATATTTTTTACAAATACAAAAATATGGAATATCGCCAGCCTTATCAAAAGTGATGCTGTGACAACAAAACAAAACAAAAACACTTTTTAACAAAAATAAAACTCTACTTTTCTGTCTTTTGCCATGAATATTACCCAATGCGTTTTTTCGGAATAATTACAGGGCTAATGTTGGTCAAAGTGTATGTAAAGGACTTTTTTATATATATCCTTACCGGAAGCAGTATATGAGAAAAGCCAGCAAAAGGATGATGAGAACTCCTCCCAGTACACAGGAGATGACCACCACTGCCAGCAGAGCAGCTGTAAATACACACATAAAGACATTTAGATGTTTACGGGTCCACACATGACTGTTGCTACTGCATTGTTTAGTCCTTTGTTACTCACAGTCGTTGCAGTTGAAGCCAGCATATCCAAATGCACATCTAAGAGACAAAACAGAGCGATTGAACACAAGATTTGTTGAATATCAATTAAGTTTAGCGTTGAATCCACATGGGGGAGCCACCTACACATCCACATGTCCCAAACATACAGTAATACACAGACATCCCACACCTGCACATGCTAAACATACCCTTTAAACAAAATGTATACTCACGGTTGACACGTGTCTCCCACTGCCCTTTGCCCACTTGGACATGCTATAAAAGAGAAACACAATGATTAAACAAACAATCAAACAAATACACGCACACACACACACACACAATGTTTTTACAAAATGAGAATGAAATGTGAACATAACAAGATACAGTTTCCCACTCAGAGTCACGGTAGAAGGAGATGTACAGTACGCCTGGCTGCACACGCAATGAAAGCATGAGCATAATAAAAGCCTCTTCATATGGACCATTTTAAATAAGCACATCATGGTACATTATGTCTTTGCTGGGAAAGAAAATGCATGCAGCATTTGTCGTTCTTTTACTATGCCTAGAGCTCATCTCCTTGGTCACAACCCTCAAAAGAAAAAGACAGAGAAAGATGTGATTCTTCAATGTGTTTCCTGGGAAACAACCCCCTATTAAAAAGAAGTAAATTAGAGAGATAAATGAAGTAAGGGTCAAGGGTCGACATAGAGAAAAGACTACAGCTCTTGACCTTGTCTCTAAGTCTGGCTCCCTGTTGTTTCTCCCTCTCATTCTCACACACAAGTATTTCACTGAGGATAAGAAGGCTCTGTTACAGTTTTCTAAACTGAAGCGCAGTTTTTAAGACTTCAATTCAGCTCTATTTGGACCCAGGAAGCACTCTTACCTAAACATTTTTAGTTTTTACATGAGGCTTTAATAATCCACAATGTAGCAGCACATTGTAAAGTGTACCTTTTTTTAACATGACAACATAAATGCTAAAGTATGTTGTAGTCTACTTACTGAAACCTAACACTAGTCAATATGAGAATAAAGAATATTTAGTAGTTGCTTTAACCTTTACAGCTGCTGTTTGAGTACAGGATAGAGATGTAGCCCTCTCCGCAGGAACACAAAGGCCGGCCGTTTGTATTTGTGCACATTGTAGTTGAGACGTCACAGGCTAAGGGTTCCTGCACACACAGGTTTGTACCTAAAACAGAAGATTTTAAACAAATGTAAGAGAAATACCTTTCTTCTCTTCTTTAATTAATGTAGCCTGTTACTAGCACTACTTACCTATAAACGTAGCATCAGCCAATAATGTATTTTCTGGATTGGCTATAGCCTCTTGAATGGCCTGATCAACAGACTTTTGATTGGTGTTGGTGTTTTCAAAGATGTTATTTACAATTGCCTGCACACTTCCTGGTCTAAAAGAATATAGAAATGCATCAAAAGATGTTAAACTATTTTTGGCATATCATATTTAGCAGTTGGAGACAAAACAAATACTTACTTAAGCTGCACAACATCAGACTGTTTATACCCCAGCTGATTCTTCAGGGCATTTCTGAGCTGTGCAACCGAAAAAGCATGTGGTTAAAGTACTGTAAATAATGTGTCAAAGAAATTCTAAATGCTTTTGTGGGATCCCAACCTACCGTTGCTGAGATCTGAGATGCCGTCTCGCGGAATATTACAGAGGACCTGTTGCTCATTTCATTTTTAAATGTCAAGGAGGTGAGATGAAGCTTGCCTGAGAACACTTGGGCTGAATGAAGAGGAGAGGAGAAAATAAGGTGGAAGCTTCACCACCAACACCCTGTAATGATTTGTATTTTAGGCATTTCTCATCTGACCAGACAATAAATGTTATTATGTTCTTACCTTGTGCACAGCGGCCATTTACCAGGAAGCTACCAGAGAGACACTGACAAGTGCCATTAAGACAAACGCTTTCAAGTGGGCATGGGACGGAAGGACACACTAATGGAGAAAAATGGTTTGTAAAAAACTAGCCATCAGATTTTTTTCTTATGTGAACTGAGTTTGTTTAACCTGAAATAACTTGAAGAATTTACATAACATTGAAATAGTTGTTTTTATGATATTGATTATAGCCTTATAAGCATTGAATGCAACAAATCAGCAAAAGTTTTTTTCTCATTTAAACCGTTTTAGCAACAAAACATTGAAACAATCATCTCATCAATTTGGATGCTTGTATATGCAGGATTTAATTCCAACCAAGAAATAGAATACATTTGGTTAGTGAGGTAATTGATGAAGTTCTGCACCACCAGGAACTTTTGGAAGATACTAACCTATGACTGGAGGGATGGGTGGGGCTGCTGTGGTGGAGTTAGTGGTAGTGACTTCTGTTGGTCGCAGGGTGGTGTCAGTGATGATGGTGCCTGTACTGATGGTGGAGGTGGGGGTTGGGAGGGTGGTGGATGAAGCTGATGCATCGCCAACTGATGGTTCAGGTGATTGAGTCATAGTGGTATATATGGTCACTGTAACATTCAAAAATATGTGAAAATCCGTTAAAGGATACAGATAAGAGAATATCCAACAGAGCTAGTTAGCAAAAGTTAGCATACTAAATTAAAACGGTGAACATGATAAAAAACCTCATTAGCATCGCCATGCTAGCATTGAATACTTTTGAGCAGCATCAAATGGAGTTGAGCTGAATCCTTCAGTGTAAATTAGACATTAGCCTTATCAACTAGGCCTATAGGAAATGTGTTTAAACTTTAAGATAAAGATTAAATCGCTGTTTCATTCAAAAGTCTGCATTGAGAGACCTGAAAACCTGGCAAACTGATGGAATATGCAGCCTAACTCCTGGTCTTTGCTGAATTCCTACTACTCACCAGCATGTTTTTGTAAAGTTTATTTTGTAAGAATTAAATAACACAAATCAACACTCATCATGTCGTTGTTCCTACCTCCTGGGTTTGTTGCTGAGGGACTAAGGGTGGTAGTATTTCCAGTGGGGGCTGCAGTGCTACTGCTTGGGGAGGTAGGGAGAGAACTGGAGGTGGTGATGGAGGTAGGTGAAGAGGGTTGGGGTCCGGCTGTTAGGTTTGGGTTTGTGGTGAAAGGGGAGGGTGAGAGTGTGGTGGTCATCACAGGAGTCTCAGGAGAGGTGTTAGTAGAGTTTGTTAGTGTTGCTGTAGTCAGCACAGCTGTAGAGCTTTCTGAAGCTTCTGTAGGAGTACTTGCTGTGCTTTTGCTTGTTTGTGTGGTTGCTGGAGTTGTTGTGTTGTTGCTCTGCTGTGTTGTAGTTGTAATGAAAGTTGTACTGTGGCTAGACTGTGTAGTCTTTGTGATTGTAGTTGTGATGTTGCTTGTAGTTGATCTAATTGCAGTTGTGTCGTTGATTGTAATCGCCGTAATGGAAGTTGTGTCACTGCTTGTAATTGGCATATTGGTAGTAGTGTCGTTGTTCATAATTGGCGTGTTTGTAGTTGTGTTATTGCTTGTGATTGGCGGATTTGTAGTCATGTCTCCAGTTGTAATCGCCGCAATGGTAGTTGTGTCGTTGCCTGTAATTGGTATAATGGTAGTTGTGTCGTCGCCTGTAATTGGTATAATGGTAGTTGTGTCGTCGCTTGTAATTGGTATAATGGTAGTTGTGTCGTTGCCTGTAATTGGTATAATGGTAGTTGTGTCGTTGCCTGTAATTGGTATAATGGTAGTTGTGTCGTCGCTTGTAATTGGTATAATGGTAGTTGTGTCGTTGCCTGTAATTGGTATAATGGTAGTTGTGTCGTCGCTTGTAATTGGTATAATGGTAGTTGTGTCGTTGCCTGTAATTGGTATAATGGTAGTTGTGTCGTCGCCTGTAATTGGTATAATGGTAGTTGTGTCGTTGCCTGTAATTGGTATAATGGTAGTTGTGTCGTTGCCTGTAATTGGTATAATGGTAGTTGTGTCGTCGCTTGTAATTGGTATAATGGTAGTTGTGTCGTTGCCTGTAATTGGTATAATGGTAGTTGTGTCGTCGCTTGTAATTGGTATAATGGTAGTTGTGTCGTCGCTTGTAATTGGTATAATGGTAGTTGTGTCGTTGCCTGTAATTGGTATAATGGTAGTTGTGTCGTTGCCTGTAATTGGTATAATGGTAGTTGTGTCGTCGCTTGTAATTGGTATAATGGTAGTTGTGTCGTCGCTTGTAATTGGTATAATGGTAGTTGTGTCGTTGCCTGTAATTGGTATAATGGTAGTTGTGTCGTTGCCTGTAATTGGTATAATGGTAGTTGTGTCGTCGCTTGTAATTGGTATAATGGTAGTTGTGTCGTTGCCTGTAATTGGTATAATGGTAGTTGTGTCGTCGCTTGTAATTGGTATAATGGTAGTTGTGTCGTTGCCTGTAATTGGTATAATGGTAGTTGTGTCGTCGCCTGTAATTGGTATAATGGTAGTTGTGTCGTCGCTTGTAATTGGTATAATGGTAGTTGTGTCGTCGCTTGTAATTGGTATAATGGTAGTTGTGTCGTCGCCTGTAATTGGTATAATGGTAGTTGTGTCGTCGCCTGTAATTGGTATAATGGTAGTTGTGTCGTCGCCTGTAATTGGTATAATGGTAGTTGTGTCGTCGCCTGTAATTGGTATAATGGTAGTTGTGTCGTCGCCTGTAATTGGTATAAGGGTAGTTGTGTCGTCGCCTGTAATTGGTATAATGGTAGTTGTGTCGTCGCCTGTAATTGGTATAATGGTAGTTGTGTCGTCGCCTGTAATTGGTATAATGGTAGTTGTGTCGTCGCCTGTAATTGGTATAATGGTAGTTGTGTCGTCGCCTGTAATTGGTATAATGGTAGTTGTGTCGTCGCCTGTAATTGGTATAATGGTAGTTGTGTCGTCGCTTGTAATTGCCGTAATTGTAGTTGTGTCGCTTGTTGTGATCGGCGTAAGTGTAGTTGTGTCAATGCTTGTAATTGGTGAAATGGTGGATTGTCCGTTGCTGGTGCTTGTGGTTTGTGTTCTAGATGTCAATGTGTGATCTGAAGCAGGTGTGGTATTTGAATTTGTGGTCTCACTAGTGTTGGTGGGTTGGCTTGTCTCAGGGCTTGTAGTGGACAGCGTTGTACTGCTGGTTGGAGCTGATGGAGAGTCAGTTGGGCTGCCGGTGGTAAAGTAACTGTTCTCATTTATGGTGCTGCTGACTGCTGCCGTGGAGGTACTGGACTCAGTAAAGGGCTGGGAGAAGGTAGTCTCTGCATGGGTGGAGTCTGGTTCCATAGTAGTAGATTCTGCAGTGGCATTTTCTATAGTTACAGTAGCTACTGAGGCTGTGAAGTGCTCTGTAGTGGATGGTGGTGAAGTTACAAAACTGCTGGTTGAGTGACTGCTGCTCGGATTTGAACTTTCAGTTAAGCTCATGTGTGATGTTGCAGGACTGGTGGATGTCTTATCACTCATTCCTCCATCGGTGGAGACATTTTGTGTGATGGGATCTGTTGTTGTCATTCCTGCAGAAAAAATAAAGCACAAAAAGAATCAATGTGTGCTGTACAGCATTAGAATAAGAATATAGAGGTGGTGGATTATTATAGGTCTGCTGCTGCTGTGTGGTGAGATTGAACCAGACATCTGAGATGGTGCCAGGTAGCTCACCTTGTAAAGTAGGGGGAAAATGACTAAGGCTGAGTACTTACTATAGCTGCTAGTGGCCCTTTGCTGGCGGTACATGTCCTTCCCCCTCTCTACCCCTTTCATGTGTAACATTAGAGTACTGAATAGTAAATTAAATAAAAAAGCCCCAAAAGTACATTTAGAAAAAAAAAAAACTGTGGACCATAATTTAGAAACAATTAGTTAAAATACACTAAAATGCTCCAAAGAGACGAGAGATACTGAGAGTTGATTATGCGGGTCGTAACGACAAGCAACACCTTTCACATACAAGTAATCATTTGATCCATTGTTAACATACAAATACTCATTATAACTGCATTAAGCTGTGTAACATCCATATCACAGTCTAGCAGCTTAAGATATGCATGCTAATTACTGATGGAAAAAAATGCATTAATTAGCATATTTCCATGTCAATATACTAATATAATCACATGCTTTCATTAACATCAAATGGGAACCTTGAACACTAGCTTAGTGTCTTTCTAGAGGAAGCTTGCTGTGTACTGTGATGTTTATGTCATTTTATGATTTTACTCAAATGTGCCAAATACCAACATATTTGTCCACTATAATGACAGGAGGTAAGAAACAAAAGTTCATTTCCCCCAGTATTGCTGCTATTAGTCTTTAATTTATAAGAGGACAACTTTTCCAACATGTGATATTGCAAAAATCTTAGTAGTTTGAGCTCTGATGACAGACCGTTAAATGTATATTTTACATTAGACACAAGGTGTGATTCGGCAGTTAAAAAAACAGGTAAATGTTTACAACACAGAAATCACAAGTGCTGCCAACTTAATTTGAACTTCTTAAAGGAAAGAGCTGCCTTCAGTGTGGTGAAGTGACGCCTGTTCCCATTTAGCCTGCTCCCACTCTCCGCTTTGTATTTATGAGGGAAGAGAGGGGGCCAGAGGGCAGCTTCACGAGCCGTACAAACAGTGGGAGCTGAATAATTGCATTGAATAATTATATTCTAAACCCGGATATATGACTGACAGGTGGATGCCTTGCACAAAGAACATTTTCCAGTAAGTAATTGCACATTGTAAGAATAACCAACACAGATATTACATCTTGGGCGTGATTTGGATACTTTCTGTGTACACGGCCCTTTGTGACCTTATCTCTTAATCGTTAAGTATCATAGACTCATTTAAAAATGAACCACCTTGTGACGACAATGACAAATCGAAAATTGGGAACAGGAATAAGATATTAAGCAATCAACAATGATTGTGGAAAGTTGGGAAATGCTAGCTAAGTAGCATAGCATGAGATCATTGCTCTAAAACACACATGTATGAATTTATGACTCGTTGGTCTTGATTAAGACTTAAGGGAAATAGACTTATCTTACTGGATGACCGAAGATCAAGATTAAAACCTCTTCAATCAGATCCAGCCAGCGCTATCTTTATTAGCCCTGTGTTACATTTTAGAAGAGTAACAACTCTGAAGACTTGTATTTTTTAAGGAATTACAAAGTTGTAGGTCAGGCATTTGATTTAATCCCTGCATACTTTACATTCTGTAAAATGTCAAAGGTCAAAGTTTTTTGTGATTCTTAAAAGAAAACACCACATTTTAGCAGTTATTTAGATTCCTGGTGCTTTATAAAAACTGGGCAGCCAGCTCTAGTATACTCTCAATCTGTCAATCTGTAGCCAGGTGTATGTGGTTGTGTGTGTGTGCGTGCGTGTGCGTGTGCGTGTGCGTGTGCGTGTGCGTGTGTGTGTGCGTGTGTGTGTGCGTGTGTGCGTGTGCGTGTGCGTGTGCGTGTGTGTGCGTGCGTGTGTGCGTGTGTGTGTGTGTGTGTAAAAGTAATTTAATGTGAAGAAAATATTGTGATAACTACGGAGTTTACGATTGTTAATTACTAAAGTAGGGAACCCCACAAGAAGTTTATGAAGGTAAAATCCTCCCCTGTAAAAACACAATAATCATTCTTACTCTCTTCTCTTTGGCTAACACAAAAATGACTCCTGAAATTAAAAAGTTCTCATAAAGATTAAAACAGAAGCTCACTCCAACAGACGGATGAAAGTTGGTACCTTTGATTTAGTAACCCTAATTGCTATATTGTTCTAACCATATCATTCAAGAAGAGAGAGATAAATATCTTGGCAGCATTGATGAGTTGTGAAATCCAATGAAATCCCAATCAGTAAACTAGTGTCATGCTTATCACCTACTTCTTTTGCAGCTAACACGATAACAAGTAGGACGCAACAGAGAGGAAGAATGGAACATCGAACACGACCAGTGGAAAACAAATATGAGAGTTTGTTTAGGTATGTCGACATACTAAAGTTTCCGAGAATCTTATTATGCTAGATTCTTGATATGAGCATTACAATGTCATTAACAATGAGTAAAGGCTGACTTTGTTTTCCATGTAGCCTTCACATGCAATGATTGCTGGCTAATTGAAGAAGGCTAAAGCTGATATGATATTTATCATTCTGAGGGATTCCTGATATACCAACAAGTCATACCTAAAGTAGATAATGATACTGAGCAAATGTTGAGTCTGATTATGAAAACAAGTGATGAACAAAAGTGAAATAAGAGTATTAGCTTGCATGGCATTAATATTAACAAACAAAAAGGTACACTCTATTTTTCAAAGACACAATTGCTTCCACTTTTAAAGGTCAGTGCTGCTTCTCTATTCCCATTTACATAGACATTTGAGCCATATACAACATACACAAAATCAAACGTGAAGTTTTACAGATAATCTATGACACCCTAACCAAAGACTGATACAACAAAAGATGCAACAATTGACTTGATGTCCAAACTTCAACACATGTCTTAGACTTAGACTTAATGTCAGAGGCCCTATTCCTTTTTTTGTCTTTGACAGGGCTGATAGTCAATCTTCTGTTATTGAAGAATTTGGGTTACCCCTACTGGAAAAGCAATGAAACCCGTATGAGACAGTGTAAACCAACAGTTTGTGTACTATACTTGAAATAATGGAGTTATTAAGAGCACACTTTGCATTGCACGTCTCACAAAAAGCCTTGTCTCTAAGGACTTATCCTACAGCCGGATAATCCCCTGCAGACACAAAAGGGATGACTGGGTCAGACAAGGTGACAAGTGGGTCTAAGGTCGGCATGCAAACATGTATTCAGGAGGATAAGAAGATCCGGCTCTACCAACCTTTGGTCCAACATTCTTCTTCGGTATGACAATCTCTAACTGTACTGAAGCCCCCTAAAGCTGCCACGCCTTTCCACCTCTGTCTTTCTCAACATTGACATCAAGTAAGGTGTATTTGTTGCCAAGGAGATGTATGGTTCTAGCTGTCAAAGCCAACAGTCAGAAAGACGTTAGTGTTGATGATTGTGTTGCAGTGCAGTGCCGCACTTCAGATGATTTCTATTCATGTAAGACAATAGCACTCCTGTGTAGTACCTGCTCAAAAAGTGACCGTCAGATCCAGTTTCCCAACGCAACTTCCCGTTCACACTGCCACTCCTCCTGAGCAAGCCTGTATTCATTACACACCATCATGATTCCTGTGAAGTACGGAGAGCTGTAGACAAAAGTTATCCTGGCATCTCAATGTTGCCGTTAAATATTTTTGAATGTTTATTGTTAAGATTAGGGGAAAGTGCGTTCTTGAAATAGTTGTTCTCTTGAACTAACAGCACTGCAAGGAGGATGGCCCTGATTCAAGAAGGCACACAGAGCAGAAGATGAACTGAAAGGGGCAGTCAGGAAGAGCTTAAGGCCAAAGGCAGCATCTCATTAGGAAACAGGCGAGTCATGTGAAGAGCTGACCTATAGAATGTGTGTCTCAGAAATCATGCAGTACCACATCCGAAACAAGACAAAAATGCTGCAGGCAAACTTGAATCAGCAGCGAATCAGAGGTCACACTTAAGGTCCTTTTGCCAGCTAATGAGAGTCAACTATTATTGCATACTGCTTTATGACCTCCTGTTATTTAATGGTGCTCATCGTGGGTTGAAGAAAAAAAAGAGGCATGGTAGACCAACAGATACACACAGGTCAGTCTCCTTAAGGGGAAAACAGTCCTGAGGACAGTTACATCAAAGCGACACAGCCGGTCACCAGGAGCGACCTCACAACACAGAGAGGAAGCTTTTATTCCCCCCCCCCCCCCCCTACAACAGCCTGTCATCCAGCTGTGCCCCGTGTCCACAGTCCTGATCAGAGGATATACTGGTGCAACATATGGTGGAGGTGAAAGGCTGGGCAATGTGCCAGTATTATTTGTATTGTATATCGGTATATTTACTCAGTAAGAGCTGCATGGTAGATTGGTTGGATGTGTTGCTTTGTTTCATGTGATTGGCACATTTAGTATCTTTAGGCTTTATAAAAAAACAAGACATTTGATCATGATCCCATGGGCTTTATAAAATGGTGGTGCCCATTAATACCTATTTTTCTCACAATCTAGGTAATGGAAATACTCAGTACCTACAGTCAAAGGCTGGGGGGTAGAAAAGAAAAAGAGGAAGGGAAGGTCTTAAAACCATAATCAAAGCCAGCTGTTGCCTTTCTACAGATTCATTTCCTGATTTCATTGATTTCTGTGTGTTTTCTGTGTGTTTTCTGTGTGTTTTCTGTGTGTTTTCTGTGTGTTTTCTGTGTGTTTTCTGTGTGTTTTCTGTGTGTTTTCTGTGTGTTTTCTGTGTGTTTTCTGTGTTTTCTGTAAGCACAAGAAGTATTTGCTTTGGTTCTTTAATGTATTAATAATGATCTAGTATGTTTCTTGGAAAGATCTTTGTAATGTGGTACAATTTAGAATTTGAGATTTCTAGAAAGGATTGCCCAACTTAAACCCAAGAAAGTGTGAATTAATTTATTCAGTATTGGAAACTATATATATATTACAATTCATGTTTTCATATTGCTTGCTTTTTAAAAATACTATTATTGCTTGTTCAGCTTAACTACTGTGTACTTATTTATAAGGAATGTCACAAAAACATTTAATAGTAAATTGTTAACATAAGGTGTTAAGAGTACTGCCTTTATTAAATTGTCACACAATTGTGTTTAATTTCAGTTAGATAATCTGATCTATCAATATAGAGACAATGGGGTGTATCTTTAAAGAGGAGAAATAAAGCTGACTGAGCGAATTAAAGTGCCACACTCTTCGTCCTGCTATATGGAATTGCTCTCTTTCTCCCATCTGGAAAAACGTCATCTTGGCTGAGACTGACAGCTCTTCCTGCTGCTGATGCAATAGGCCTGATGCACAATTAATATTGCAATCTGTAGCACAGCAGACAAGTTCAAAGAAGTTTAGCAGATATCTCTCTCTCTCTCTATTTATTCCAGCTGATAATGTAATACTGTAGGTACTTATACTGTTTCCCTCCCCTCAGAGGGTACCCAGTTTAAGTCCTCAATAGGACAAAGCAGATCCAAATTAGCTCTCTGTATCTGAGCAAGCAGACGTCTTACTGTAACACGGATGCAACAGATGGCCGCTCCCTGACTGGAGCAGGGACTCTGCACATATCATATCCAATTAAAGCTCTGCTAGCACATGCTTTCCAATTACAGAGTGAGATTTACTGGCCCAGAGCAGGTCTAATCCAACAGGAAGCAAGGACGCAGCGACACAAGCAGAAAAGACAGGCAGGAAACAGCAACAAGTGTGCATGAGAAGTGGAGGTAGAAACAATACGTGCGAGGTGAGAGTCCATCAAAAGAGGAAGATGAGATGGAGGAACTGACTGGTACAAAAACAATGCTTGTGTTCACTGACACTAAACATGGTTTGTACTTCTCCCAATCTTGAAGAAGGACTGAGGGCCGAAACGCCACCTAAACAAAAGAAGAAATGCATAGAGAGCCAAAAAGTGCAAAATTGTTTTCCTTATTTTTACTTACTTGCTCCGACTGATAGAATAGAATAATCACCACAAAAGGTTTGTTAATGTTTGTGAGCTAAAATTATAAAACAATTACTTGATCAACAGAACATTTTGCGGGAGCTATTTTGATAGTCGAGTAATTGTTTCTGTCACTTGGAAAAAATGCCAAATGTTCTTTTGGTTTTGCGGCTCTACTGTAGCAATTTGCAGTTGTTCATTGTCATATATGGGAGTTACATTTAATATCTTGTTGTTTAAACTGTAAGACAAAACAGACAAATGAAAGACATTACCATGGCCTCTTTCCATAGAATAAGCGTTTATACCTATTGATCAAGTAAATCAAATTGAGATTTATTGATATTTAAAATAACCGTTAGTTGCCAACCGACATGAGCCTGTGTCCTTTCACATTCCTACAACTGCCTGTTAACTCCTGAGCAGACCTTGCATGCTCTAATCATGACTTAACGATGACTAACCAGCAGAACATGACACATGATAAGCTGAATGCGATCTGAGAGAGGAAACAGCCACGGTGAGAAAAGAGAGGGCAGAGGAAGCCATTAATGTGCTCTGCTCCTCTCCCTTGGAGATTTCTTACAGAGGGCAGAAGAAAATGTGGCGCCAGACTCAGAGGAGGAGGATTGCCAGCCTCAGGAGGTCTCTGCATCTGGACCTCTTTACTGCTACTTCAGACACACTCAAACTGCCACAAACTGGAGCGTCCATCGCCTCCCAGTCCAGTGTTTCTCCACTGAAGACACATGACATGGCCCCCAGGCTCGGACACATGACAGTGACTGAATCTCAGTCTTCATACATAAAACCTTGAAACACAGACTCTTGTCAAAAATAATGAAAAAAGGATAACCAATGGATTTAACTGCAACTAAGCTGAGGGAGTCTGTACAGTGGAGAGCTCATCAAAATTCCTCAGGGCAGCTTCACCACGCTGTCGAGGGGGTCCTCTCATGCGCACACAGAGTCAACTTTGTGTGAGGAGTGTGTTGTGCTTCAGGGAGCCGGCTGTTGTCTGACCAATGCCTCCTCGCTGGCATCTGTCCACCCCCAAAGAGCTTTGAGTCACACTGATGGACCAGTGAGTCAGTTTAGGACTATTTGGGGAAAAGACCACATGAATGTGTAGAAATACAAAAAAAGAAGAAGAAGAAGGAACTTGAACAAATGCTTGTCCATTTAAGGCAAAGGCTAAACCACCTATTCTGGAACTTAATTTGGGTATCTTTGTAATTTTGTCTATGAGTTACTTATTAATTAATTGATATTTGCATTTTGTAACATGTACCAAGGCATGTCTTTTATCAGGTGTAGGGAAATTTTCTACCTGGTCGGTTTTCTGAAAAAAGCTTTTGTCGCCATGCAAAACATTTTTTTGTATCTTCTTGTTTGTTAATGTCAAACTTTTGTGTTTATGTAAAACTTTGTCTAGATAAAAGGTGGTAAACAGTGGGGCCATTTATGATACTATATAAATATAGACTCATATGTTTTATAAATAAATTATATTGTTCTCATAGCCAACAAAGACAAATAAATACACGGTAATCTACCTAGATTAGATTTTATTTTATATTGTATTACAATAGATAATACACTTCCATACATAGACTACTAATACATCATATGATGAAAGGATATTTGCCAGTGAAAGAAATTGTGGTAACATATTTTAAGATATCGTTTCTATACTTGGGTATAATATATATTTTATACATGCATAACTCATGATGAGCAATTAGACTTTCTGACTGAGGTAGCTAAATAAGAACCACATTTCACATATTCTTCACACATACTGCTAACACTTACTTTAAATAGTTTACAATATGTTTAACTGTTAATACTTCTGTACGTTTACTTTAAATGCAGAGCTTTTACTATAATGTAGTAACAGTATTGCTTGAAAGGACCACTGGTCACAATCTATATAAAGTCTGTACCGATTAAAGTTATACTAGTTCCAAAAAGTAACATGAACAATTTACTTTTCAAGGCTTCAACTCTTACTCCAAATAAAATATGCGGTAAATAAACATAAATACACAGTCAGTAACACACTTAAAAGTGTTCCAGTCTATTGACCAGTGGGGATGTAAACTGTACTCACCTTTAACGGCAGCGCCCAGGAGAAACACAAAAGGCAGATAACTGAGAACCATCTTTACGGTCTTCGGTTGTAAGGACCGGCCGGTGAAGAAGCTCCGTGTCCCGCCGGTGTCACGGTAAGTATAACGGTGGATATAACGGTGAGATAACGGTGCTGTGCAGACGCTGTTTCCCCGGGCTGTTCTGCTGCCTGCTACAGGTGGCTCAGACTGAAAGCTGCAGCCTGTGACAGCATTAAAAGCTTTAGTCCCTCCTCTGATTGGCCGGCTCTCCTGTCACTCAGAGCATAGAGGTTCTGCCTTCACCCATAAACCAGAGCTTGAACCTGTCATCAACAATACAGAAGTTAAGTAAGCTATATGCGCACGAAAAGTCTATTTTTAGCTCATTGTTTACACACAGAGTGAACAAAAAGGAACGTGTTCATGTTATGTTGGGCAGGGCTAGCAATTTACTATTTATCCTGAGGGATCTTTATCATTAGGCTTCACCATCACCACCACACAATGATCCATACCCAATCAAATTAGGCCTATATTGAGAATATTTCCTGGTGAATCTCAAATGTTTAAATAAAGTTCATCACCTAAACATCATCCAGCTACTTTTTTAGCTGCAGACACACTTTTTTTTAGTATACATATCATAAGGACTCAATTAAATTCTGCCCTAAATTCCCACAATGTAAAACTAAAATCAACATTCACTTAGTTTTGGGGATTTGATATTATCTAAATTACCATGTCCTCTGAGGTTCCAACTGTGTTAGAACTTAAAGATGGCCAGGTCGGCTCAACTATTAAATAAATGTGAAGTTTAAATGCCATTCAATGCTGTCAATATCTCTTGTAAGGGTTTTGTCTTTTGTTTTCCGGCGGACTCTGGTCCGAAAATGAGAGCACAAGAGTTCAAACATAATAAATGTCAATGTCATCCCTCTTCTTCCTGTTGTTATCCTCTAAATGGGCTAAACCATTTCAGTCTAAATAGGCTTTGTTAGGATCAATTACAGTACAGTTTCTGTATGACAAACATGTCATTATCAATGACATGTTTGTCATACAGAAACTATTTGTATGTGTATTAATCAAAAGCTGAAACAAATGAATGATTGATTTTTTCATTAAATGGATTAGTCAGCGGTAAGTTTTCAGGATGCAAACTGATTTTCTAAACTTTGAAAATGACAATTTTAAATGAAACTGTTACATCTTAATAATATAATACTAAGAAGTAACATTTTCAATAAAAAAAACTGCTCTCCTACGAATACATTATAATTCAACTATTTCATTTATTCATATAAAACAATACAAATTCACAAACTATATTTTCACATGTTCTATGTTGCCATAGCACAGCTTTTATGGCTCTGCTGCGGGACACTCCTTCATAAGAGACATAACGAATGTCCAGCAGTGTAAACACATGCACCTAGCCGACCTCACTCTTATCTCATGCAAATGCTTTGGGACATTGCACCATTTTTCAATACATTGTGTTGACTTTTTCCACCTGGCAACCAATATTAATGTTAGTGTTGACACATGTGTCTTATTTCAGGACTGGATTCTGAGCAAAATGTTTGTCCGGCTTAATATTGACGTTTTTAGATGAGCATATATGTTCAACCAAAGAAAGAGACAAACTTAATAATAAAAACGTCATAATTATTAACATTGGATAAAGATGATCAAATGTTCTAAGTGGACCACATCAAAGTCTTGACATGTTAACTATATTTTTATCCCAATATAAAATAAAAAGACAAACAAACGTGCAAACAGTTCTCTGAGGCTCTAAAGCACAGTGGTGTTCAAGCCACATGCTCAAATCTGAAAGCTAAGATTCTGATGTTGAGCACGTATCATGTTCTTATTGAGCAATGTTGCATGCTAACATTTGCTTATGAGCTGTTATAAACACAAAGTACAGCTGAGGCAGATGAGAAGGTAAATACAAAGTAGGACCTATGATGGCATTGGCAATAGCCGTAAAGGTGAAGGGGTAACCAATTGAAATGTATATTTATCTTAGAAAGGACATCTAAGTCTCAAACAAAGTCCTGCCAATCTGTCTACTTAAATCGATTTTGAAAAGTTTTACTCAAAACCACAGATGTCCATCTCATGGTGGCACGATACGAAAAATCACGCAGTGGCCAAAGCCTAGGAGTCGTCTTCTAGATATATGTGAACAATATAACAGTAATGTAATCCATCAAGTAGTTATTGAAATATTTCATTCTGTAACCAAAGTGGTATACTTACTGACCAACAGACATATACTTTTACTCCTGTAGCCAACAATAGTGTGCCTAAAAAGACTTATTTGCATTCTGTATTTAATTTAACTAATGACTCATTCTACAGCATTTAAAACTCACTCCTGTTTTTTATTGCTGCTGTTCCCCATTCACTATCTCTCTGTGTACACAACCCCATATGTAGCTTCTTCCCAGCTTTGAAGATAAGAACATATTCCCGTCACTCTCGCATCCGCCCTGTCAACAGACCTGCGTCCTCTGAAGGAGAAAGAGACCGAAGCCTCACTAATAACAGTTCACCTCCCTCAGAATTAACTCGGCTTCTGTCTTAGTGTGTTCACCCAAAAACACCTCTTAGACATTCAGCTCAGGAATTAAGGCGTACTGTTTTACTGCCACCATCTTGGCATCAAAACGATGTGGTAAGGCAATCAAATCCCCACGTCACACCTTGACCATTCTTGCTCAAAACTTTTATGGCTTCCCCATTTTCAAACAATGAGTGAAATGGGCTTACTGACACATGATGCACAGACTTCTTAGAATGTTTAGAAATACCAAATCCACAACATCTTTGATCATATCATTATCACAAAGGTCAATATTTTATTCAGTCATTTATTCACTGGACAAAATGGGATTGGCGCTGAATCATGCAGGTGTTGGGTGTGGATAACAGAAGCTGTGGAAAGATTTGAAAGTTAATGTTTGCAAGATAAGCACAGTTGAAATGCAGGTTTCATTCTTTGGTGACGGGAAGACAACCTACATCTCTTTTTGAATGACTTTGAGGAAGAAGATTAATTCCCTGAAGTGATAATAAATGGGAACTAGAGAATATGAAATCACTGATGTGAATATCAAAGGTTACATTTGTTTGGACGTGCAGTGGTGGCCGTGCTGGAAGCGTCTTGATAGAGGGGACTAAAGAAATACTTAGTTGCATCTTGATCGATAACTTACATTGACATCTTGTGTATCGAGGACACTCGTTGCCTGCTTTAATATTACTTTTATTTCCGTTTTGTTTGTTTTGCAAATGTACCTTGATTTGTGAACTTATAAGCAGTAGCAGTGCAGGAATGACTAAGATTTGCCTTAAATGAATAATATATGGTTTGCTTAAATAACCTATATATAAACTAACATTTACCGTGTTAATGTTACATTAATGGTGATGTACTTCATGTGCTCTTAAAATCCTGGAAACAGGGTGAAATGTAGTAAACCGGGACAGGGAACGACTCATTGAGAGATGACGTTTTAGTTTTCGTATTGCATCCTGAAACATGCAATGTTTTTGCAATTTTATGAGGTGTGATGGCATTTTACGAGTGAATGTAAACCAGTCTATTAAGCCCTGGTCTTAAAAGAAAAAGATTAGCAGCATTAGAATCCAAAGATGAGCTGTTGAATGAGCCAAGTGGGTGTTGCAATTGCCAGTAAAGCAGGCCGCATTTCAAACTTAATATAATTTCAAGCAGAGATGCAGTTTAAGTCCATGCTTTCTTAATACAAATCTATAAAACAGCGACAAAGTTGCTAAAAGGGAATTATAATGAATGGATAAGCACCAAAGCATATTAGAGCGGAATTAGGGTTTGATAACTGAGGACTTTTCACTTGTAGAACACAGACACCACCATGTGGTGAAAATAAACAGCTAAGATACAGTAAGCCCGTTATGCTACCAAACATGAATGAATACATGCTGTAGTGAGTTTTTCCTAATCAGCCTCCGATACATTCATTTTAGTGTAGACATGCATATGCTTCAACATGTATAACGGCACTCCTCACAAAAAGGATGACAGAACAGCTCTTGATAACAGTATTTTTTTTATTTTTTTCTCCCTAATCAGTTTTAAATTCATTGGACAAGTAGTCTTGTGAAACGTGTCACAAGAAGCTGGAAGAAAATAAAAATGGAAGATATCAGCTACAAAATTTGGCGGTGATAAAAAAAAAGAGGGAAAATATATACTAAAATAAAATGTATACAGGGGTCAGAATTCATTTAAGATTTAGTGTTTTGTACATTTTTTGTAAACAATAAGCATATTGAAACAATATGGCAAATCAGATCTGGAGGAGAGAGGTCGAACTGAAGAGACTGAACACTAGCTGGCTTCAGACAATTACAGAAACCCTTAAGCATCATGTCTTAGTGGGTCACATAAATGTCATGAACACAAATGTTTAAAACTAGTCACACAGAAACATGACTTATTTTTACACACAAACAACAGCATTTCTGCTACATACATCAAACCTTCACTCCTGCGTCCCTGGGTTACTGTGATATGAGGTATATGTGAGGCGGCTTCTTGTTCACACCTCAACCGTTCAGCATGGCAACATATTATTTAAGATATTACAGCATTGCATTCACTCTGCCATGTTCAATGATTGCTTAAAACAACAGGCCATTGGGGCATAAAGGGGCTCAAAGACTCATTCAGCAGAGTGATATCATGTCCAGCACTCGAGGCCATTTGTAGCTATGGAAGACTGCATACTTATTGTTGTCTTTACAAAATAATCGTACAGCATAAATACATTTAAAAATCAGCGAGAAATTACATTTTACATTTACTAGACAATATTTTGCACCTGCACTGCTCAGGAATAGGCACCCAATTTCTATTGGGACAAATATGCTCGGTAATGCCAGCACATGTGAGATATCTAAACGCTTACAAACATTTGGGTCAGCCACCTTTTAGTTCGTAATGCATATGGCTGCCTCTCAGTAACAGCTTGAGAAATACTTAATCACTAACACATTTGTCATCAAATTCAATAAGAAAGCAAAAGCTTCTAAGTTGGGTAACAAGTCAAAACTAAAACTAGAGGTTTGAATTACATATACATTATCCCGATTAAATGTTACTTTATTTTAAAAGTCCCCCCTCCCCCCAATCTAA